TATGTTTTGCATGCTCGTTACAAGGATTGGTTGTGCCAGGGTTTCATCCTTGCTGTTGTAGTCTGGTTTTGTGGTTTGCGAGTGAAGACGACGATGGGGAGGGTGTTCGGTTGTTATATTTGCCGGATTATAACTAGTTCAAATCAATTTTTTTCAACTTTCTGTACGATTGTAGGATTGCATGATCAAGGTTAGTATCAATTTGGTTATGAATACATGTTCAGTTTATGGTTTCATTCGTATAATGGATCAGATGCTCTGTTTTTGGATTTATATGGATTGAATGCTCTGTTTTTTCAATTATATGCATTTTACGTGGTTATGCGGAGAGGAGTTCATTCGTATTATGTGAAGATTGCGTGGTTCTCATTTGACTTTGATGCATGCGTAATGAGGCTCTGTGTGGATGATTTGATTATCAGTATATATATCAATGTGAATCTTCACATTTTGTGAATGTGGAATATGTGTAGAATGTGGATGTTCTCATTTTAAATTGATGTTTGCTTAATGAGGCTCTGTGAAGATTGTTAATGTTATGTGAAGATTGTTAATGTTCTCATTTTACTTTGATGCTTGCGTAATGTTAACATCTTGTTAACATCAATGTGAATGTTTACATCATTATACACTGATGTGAATGTTCACATCATTATACACTGATGTGAATGTTTACATCATCATACACTGATGTGAATGTTCACATCATTATATTATGTGATGATTGTTGATGTTCTCATTGTACTTTGATGTTTGCTTAATGTTGACATCTTGTTAATAGTAATGTGAATGTTCACATCTTCATATTGTGAATTATGGATTTAGCAGTTGAAATGTACACGTAGTCATCTATTTTTTGCACAATGTGAATTTTCATATACACTGATGTGAATGTTTACATCATCATACACTGATGTGAATGTTCACATCATTATATTATGTGAAGATTGGTGATGTTGTCATTGGACTTTGATGTTTGCTTAATGTTGACATCTTGTTAATAGTAATGTGAATGTTCACATCTTCATATTGTGAATTATGGATTTAGCAGTTGAAATGTACACGTAGTCATCTATTTTTTGCACAATGTGAATTTTCATATACACTGATGTGAATGTTTACATCATCATACACTGATGTGAATGTTCACATCATTATAAATCAATGGGGGTACAACATGTAGAAGTTGTGGTTGAGTTGAAGGGTGATATTGGTCAGTCAAGTAGTTTGGGATTGCTGCGTGTGGGGGTTGAGGATGAAATTGATGCACTACGGAGATTTTGCCACCATAAGGAGAAGGTGTTGTTGTCAGCCCCTTGGGCAAATGGTATTACGCATGTAGGACAACGGTTTGTTGGAGGTGCACAAGAATTTCGTGACGTTTTATGTAAGTATGCCATCCAATGTGGGTTTAAGTTCACATACGTGAAGAACGAGACAACAAGAGTTACGGCTGTGTGTGCGATGCGGGAGGAGAGGGGGTGCTTGTGGGCTATACATTGTAGAGCACAACGAGCAAATGATTTTTTCTACATCAAGAGGTTTAGTGATGTGCATACTTGTGGTACGGATGTCCGAACATCGAAGAATCCGCGAGTTAGTTCAGATTTGGTGTCGAGTACCATATCTGAAATAGTGAGGGACAAGCCGTTGACTTGGCCGTGTGAAGTGGTGACTATTTTGAAGAGGGATTATGGCCTAGATGTGAATTACCATGTCGTATGGTTGGGTGTGGAGAAAGCAAAGGCTGGTATTCATGGAGATTGCTCGTTATCGTTTGACCAGTTGCGGTGGTATTCGGATGCCGTGATGCGGTACAATCCGGGGAGTTATGTCAATATTGACTATGATGCGAGTAGTCAACAGTTTCGTCGCTTCTTTGTGTCATTCGCTGCGTATATTTCTGGGTTCAATGCTTGTCGGCCTTTATTATTCCTGGATGGAACATTCCTCAAAGGAAAGTACAAAGGTCAGCTACTTGCGGCAACGGCGAAAGACGGGAACAATGGTTAGAAGTTTTTTTTACCTGTCTATTCATGTCAATATTCACTCTGAGCAGCGTAGTCTGGACGAAAGAGTGATTGCTAAATTATAAGTAATGTGAACATTGACATTAGTATGCACTGATGTGAATGTTCACATCTTTGTATGCTAATGACAGAAATGTGAACATTCACATTATTACAGACTGATGTGAATGTTCACATCAGTGTATACTAATGTTAGTTGATCTATTAATGAACAGTACTGTGAATGTGTAACATTGTTAGTGACTCAACAATCAACAATGAATTATTAATGGTCGTTAATCTGAATGTTCACATCGTTGATGTTTATGAACCTGAATCCGAAAACAGCAATAGTAAAGAGGGCAATGTACATATGAACATTCACATGACCTGTTTCGCTTATACTGTTTTTCTATTCACTTTGGAATATTGTGAACAGTTGTGTATTGGTGTTGTGTTGTAGGTCTGTTTCCTGTTGCATTTGCAATTGTTGATTCGGCGACCACGGCTAATTGGTCATGGTTCTTGCATGAACTTGGGAAGGTTGTTGATGGGAAGCGCCATATTACTTTTATTTCGGATCGTAATCTTGGTCTGTTAGAAGCTATGCCAAAGGTGTTCCCATCGGCTCATCACGGTTATTGCTTACAACACTTGAAAAGCAATTTAAGAGACCGGATGAAAGGAATTGATAATGGATTCAGGGATCACCTAGTAAGTAGTCTGGGTGACTGTGCCTACGAGCCAACTGTGGTAGGGTTCCATGAAAAGCTTGCAAAATTAAAAGAGGAGGGTAAACAACGAGCTCATAATTTTTTCAAGGACTTAGCACCTGAATACTGGGCAAATTCATACTTCAGGTAATAATAGTTTCCTAAGGTGTTCCATTTTTGAAGTTTAGAATGATAGTGATGTGAATTTTCAGTTTAGAATGGTGACAATCTTCGAATTGTGGTTCATCTTCAATGTAAATGATGTGAATGTTCACATCTGCTAATGCTGACTGATGTCATGTTCACATTTCTTAATTTGTCAAATAGTCATACAATGTATTACAGATTTGAATGTTGGCACGTGTCATATTTTGTTGTTGTTGTTAACATTTACATCTGTCTATCATTTAAGTTGACAACGTAATAAGCATGTAATGTGAACATTCACATTATATAAACCTGGTAGCAGATGTGAACATTCACATTATTGTACCCTGATGTGAATGTTCACATCAGTGTATACTAATGGCAGTACTGTGAACGTTCACATCTGTCAACGTGAATGGTCAAGCCTGTTAAATTCTGTATTGTATAATGTTTGTGATATATTGTGCAGGGGCATGCGTTATGGGGAGATGACATCCAATGCGGCGGAGTCATTTAATAACTGGATTAAAGAAGCACGTAATCTTCCTATCACTCAAATGGTGGACAAAATTCGTACTCAGTTGATGCGGCAAATGTCTACACGGCGTGACCAAGCAAACAAATGGAATCAGATTATTTGTTCGACATTCGAAACAAGGCTTATGGATTCATTCAATGACAGCAAGTCTTGGCAAGTTAGCAAAGCCAACGAGGATGTGTTTGAAGTTCATTCGATACCATCTGTTACAGTTGATGTTGCGAGGCGTACATGTTCTTGCTTCAAATGGCAAATCAACGGATTCCCGTGTGACCATGCTGTTATTGCCATTCAGAAGAGCCGCTACAATCTCAATGATTGTGTAGAACATTACTTTCATGTAGAGACATATCGTGCAGCCTATTCGGGAGCCATATTCCCTATACCATCGGTGGAGAAGCCGCCTTTTGATCCCACGGACTTCACTATATACCCGCCAACCGTGAAAAGACCACCCGGAAGGCCGAAGAAGAATAGCATCCCATCAAGGGGTGAGAAACTGAAGCAAATAAGGTGCGGGAGATGTGATAAGTTGGTGAGCCATAATCGAAAATCATGCACGGAGCCGATATAAGATGTACCTTTTTTCATTTCAACATTGTATTTTACATTGGATTCTTATATTCATTTTTTAAATAAGATTGTGTTGTGTTGGGAAATATTGGGTTGTAATAAGATTACGTTGCGTTGGCAAACATAATAATGCATTAGTGTTTTTTTTTTTTTTTTTTATACTTTTTTAAGGTACCAATCTGACATTTATGTTGGTTGTGTTTTGGATGAATGCGTGCTGTTAACATTCACACTTATGTAATATAATCACATTATGTGAATGTTCACATTGTTCAACTTTCAAACATGCCTGTGGTGGGAATGTTCACATTGTTGTTACTGTTAACAGCAATGTTTACATCAATGTAACATTCACATTTATGTTACATTTATGTTGGTTGTGTTTTGGATGAATGCATGCTGTTAACATTCACACTTATGTAATATAATCACATTATGTAAATGTTCACATTGTTCAACTTTCAAACATGTCTGTGGTGGGAATGTTCACATTGTTGTTACTGTTAACAACAATGTTTACATCAATGTAACCATTCGCATCATCAACTCATAAGATGTGAATATTCATGACATCATTGTTGCCGTTCGCATAATCAGAAGTTATGATGTGAATATTCACATCATCAAATTGTTAGATGTGAATATTGACCTGTGTTAAGAAATATCATACTCACACCTGTCATATTGTGTTACATGAACACTTTAAGCAATATTCACATCCATGTAGTATGGTTTAAAATAGAAGAAAGTGTACGATCATTCTGTGGTGTGAACATTGACATCATGTCATGTGTATCCAAAAAAATAAAAAGAAAATACAATCTCAATGTGCATGACCAACGCAAAATAGGCCTGAAAATGCATATACATATATTGACTGGAAAATATCTGTACAAGCAGTGATATAGACTTGATTTACAATTAAGCTAGTCTGCTCCAATATGAAAAATCTATTGAAACTAAATTGTCCTAAATGTGGATAACAGATTTGGGTAACAGTGATAGGTGGACACCCCCCACCTATAGGTTTTCACATTGCACTGTCTTTCTATGGTTCAGAAAAATGTGTACTAATGAGTCTTTTATTTGACACCATTCAAAGCGATCTAGGCTGGCAACCATGTCTTCACGATATACATGCGCCCTCATGATGTAACAAACTGCAGGCCCACAATCCACCCTGAAAATGCAAACTTCTTGTTAGATTTTGAAATTTAGGTGGGTAAAGGTTGTGGAACATGTGTAGAAATCGATTTTAGGCTTACGAATTTGATGCTTGCTGGGGACAGATGTCCACTGATATGATTGTTTTCGAAGTATTTTGGCTTGATAAATTGGTCCATAATGGTGATGACGGTCCAATGTTGTGCACCAAAGCTGTGATGTAGTCCCTCTGCCAACAATGAAATTTCATATTAGGCACCAACCAGCATAGGGCATACGTCCAAGTTCAAATATTACACATCACGACAGGTATTATTTTTGTCAGCCACTTACCAGTATTTGTGCTTTGTCAATATGTGGGTCATGTATGCCTTCTCTTGGGCGCAGTGAGTTATAATGCCTCCATACATTCTCTTTCACGTCGTACACAACAGTTGTCCAGTAAAAGTTGTCGTGTATTGGGAAGATTAAGAATCTCTGGCCTTGATACTCCTTGATGTGTACATCAATTAGTTTATTCCTCTTGTGGGGGGGGTACTGTTCAATGATTTTCTGCACACAAAGGGCATACAATGATGTACTAAGTATTTATATCGATGTTTGGTGTTAATGATTTGAATGTTCATCTGCTAATGGTGGGTGATGCTACTGATGTGAATGTTCACATCTGTTAGTGTGAGTAATGCTACTGATGTGAATGTTCACATCTGTTAGTGTGAGTAATGCTACTGATGTGAATGTTCACATCTGTTAGTGTGAGTAATGCTACTGATGTGAATGTTCACATCTGTTAGTGTGAGTAATGCTACTGATGTGAATGTTCACATCTGTTAGTGTGAGTAATGCTACTGATGTGAATGTTCATATCTGTTAGTGTGAGTAATGCTACTGATGTGAATGTTCACATCTGTTAATGTCAGTGATATTACTGGTGTGAATGTTCCCATTTGCTAATGGTGGGTGATGTTACTGATGTGAATGTTCACATCTGTTAATGTCAGTGATATTACTGGTGTGAATGTTCCCATTTGCTAATGGTGGGTGATGTTACTGATGTGAATGTTCACATCTGTTAATGTCAGTGATATTACTGGTGTGAATGTTCCCATTTGCTAATGGTGAGTGATACTACTGATGTGAATGTTCACATCTGTTAATGTCAGTGATATTACTAGTGTGAATGTTCCCATTTGCTAATGGTGGGTGATGTCACTGATGTGAATGTTCACATCTGTTAGTGTGAGTAATGCTACTGATGTGAATGTTCACATCTGTTAATGTCAGTGCTATTACTAATGTGAATGTTCCCATTTGCTAATGGTGGGTGATGTTACTGATGTGAATGTTCACATCAGTTAATGTGAGTAACACTGCTGATGTGAATGTTCACATCTGTTACTGTGAGTTATATTACTGATGTGAATGTTCACATGTGTGTATCATTTAAGTTTATCAACATAATAAGCATATAATCTTCAATGCGAATGATATGAATGTTCACATCTGTCAATGTGAATCTTCTCAAAGGTCATTTTATGCTGTTGTTAACATTCACATCTGCCTATTATTTAAGTTAACAATGTAAGCATGTAATGCTGAGAAGAACATCCACATGTATTGAAACATAATCAAAATTAAAGTATAGTGGTTACCAAACATGTGCTTGTAAAGATGAATGATGAATCTTCCAAACTTGGGTTGACTAGCCCTTGTAGTTCAAGTAGAATTTCACCATAAGCATCTATCACCTGCAGAACCGGAGGGGTGGTAGTACATTATTTACAGTGTCTTTACTCTATGTGTATGTGTGTGTGTGTGTGTGTGTGTGTGTGTGTGTGTGTGTGTGTGTGTGTGTGTGTGTGTGTGTGTGTGTGTGTGTGTGTGTGTGTGTGTGTTTTGTACACATTTACAGTTGCCATACGTTGTTGGTTATTGATTCTTCCTTGATGAGGTGTATGATGTCATCAAAATACACATGTTTAGTCTTTGAGTCCCCTCGCCACACTAGCAACCTGTGCATTGTGATTACAGAAAATGTTAATGTCAACATTGCACATTTATGAAATGATCTAATTTATTAAGTATGTATGTGAACTGAACATTATGGGAAAAAAAAAATAGTTGGGGATATGTAAGATCACTTACTAATCACCGCCGTTCTTGTGCAAATTTTGGACTTTTTGCTTGTTGAGTTTGTTCATGTTAGCCCAGACCTTCAGTTTGTTGTTCAAGGTTAACTTCTTGGACTTTGTTGGCTGCTTTTTTGGTGGTTGCTTGTCTAAATCTTGTGCAATTTGGACTGCATGTGATTGCTGTTCGGCTCCTTCTTTCCCTTTCTTCTGACCAGGCAGGTTGGGGTATTCAAACTCGTCCAACCTGTGTTCTTTCCTTACCTTCTGCTTTATGCGCTTTACCCTTGATGGGGGGCTGATAATGTGTTCCAATGCTGCAGTGGGATTCTTGTTAAGGCTGTCATGAGCCTTTTGTGCTTCAACTTGAGTGATGATGTGGACGGACTGATCGTCAAAAAGGTCTTGAAGTATTGTTTTTTCACATTCCAAGTTGATGACCAACTTTGTCAGCCGCTGAATTTCTGTATCTTTCCACTCCATGCAAGTCTTCATGTCCATGTCCACATTGGATGAGCCCGATTGGTCAAATAGTTTGGCTTCAAGGGCAGCAATCACCCTTGCCCTCAACTCCCATGATTCTTCCAACCGTTTGTATTTCGCTTCCCATTGCTGTACAAGAGCCCAAGCTTTTTGGTTTTCTTTTATGAGTACTTCCACAATGTCGGGCTCAGTTGGTTGTGCTATGATGATTCCTTTCTCAGCATTGGGGGTGCTACAGCTGGGGTTGATATAATGTCCAACATCATTCAGGTCCACTGCATCGACAGAAAATGCATCCCTGTCATCACTGCGCTGACTGTCTTTGCTTTGATCCTCATTGCTTTCATCTTTCTTTGCTACTGCACTTGACAAAATCTCAGGTTTTGGCTCCACATTCAATTTTGTATGACGATACATCTTCGCTTCAGTTGGTGATGCCATTAGCTCGCCGCCATATACCTGCATTTCGAGACAGTATGTTAGTTAGAAAGTTCCTCGTCTCACTATGTGAATAAGCACAATATATTTGGTTGTACTTCTACCTCATTTAAACCTAGCTTAGCCAAAGTTATGGACTTCATGTTGCTATGTAAGGCTGTGAGGTCCCATTTTACGCATCGTGGAATGGCATTGGGGTTGCGGGGTTGTAAGATTGTTGTATGCTCACACAGCCAATACTGAAACAAATAACAAATATCAGTAATTTGAATGTTCATATGAATTAACATTGATGTGAATGTTTACACCACTGGTGCAATAATGTGAATGTTCACAGTGCACCACTAGGCCAGTAATGTGAATGTTTACATCACTTAAACCTGATGTGAATGTTCATATGAATTAACATTGATGTGAATGTTTACACCACTGGTGCAGTAATGTGAATGTTCACAGTGCACCACTAGGCCAGTAATGTTCATATGAATTAACATTGATGTGAATTAACAGTTATAATTTGAATGTTCATATGAATTAACATTGATGTGAATGTTTACATGCAATAATGTGAATGTTCACAGTGCACCACTAGGCCAGTAATGTGAATGTTTACATCACTTAAAACTGATGTGAATGTTCATATGAATTAACATTGATGTGAATGTTTACACCACTGGTGCAATAATGTAAATGTTCACAGTGCACCACTAGGCCAGTAATGTTCATATGAATTAACATTGATGTGAATTAACAGTTATAATTTGAATGTTCATATGAATTAACATTGATGTGAATGTTTACACCACTGGTGCAGTAATGTGAATGTTCACAGTGCACCACTAGGCCAGTAATGTGAATGTTTACATCACTTAAAACTGATGTGAATGTTCACATCCATTGATGTGAATGTTCACATCATCTGCTAATATGGAGTAATGTTACTAATGTGAATGTTCACATTTCCTAATGTTGAGTGATACTACTGATGTGAGTGTTCACAACTGTTAATGTGAGTGATATTACTGACCTGAATGTTCACAATTGTTAGTGTCAGTGCTATAACTGATGTGAATGTTCACATTTGCTAATGGTGGGTGATGATACTGATGTGAATGTTCACATCTTTTCATGTCAGTGTTATTACTATGTGAATGCTCACATTTTGCTAATGGTGAGTGATGTTACAGTTGTGAATATTCACATCTGGTAATGTGAGTGGTACAACTGATGTGAATGTTTACACCAGCATCTACTAATGTGTGTTTGTACATTACTGAAACAGTAATGCGAATGTTTTCATCAATGTTGTCAACTTCCACACCAAAGCTGAGAAATGTGAACATTCACATCAGAGTGTTCAGAGCCCATATATGTTCATATTAAACATAGAATAAGTTTTATGAGATTTGATTTACCATTAACAACATCACACATCCGGTGACTCGTCCTGGTTTTCCACAGTTTTGGCCCAATGAACCCATCAAGGTTGCCCGGATGCTCTCAGCCCAATCATACTCGATCATCTTGTGTAATGGGTCCATGTATGAGTAGAAAACCCATCCAATTGTTTCTCCGGATGTAGAAAAGAATAGCTTGACGCATGCATACATGCAAACTAATCTTGCGACCTCCTCATCGTCATGTTTTTTTGTGCCCTTCAATGCTTCCCTCAGAATTTCTCGTATTTTGGCAGCACTTGACCGACTAACATCCTTGCACATTCGGTGTATGATGTCGGTTGTTGGTTTTGCACCATAAGAGAGGTCCATCGACTTGGTGCCGCAGTCCACCCCAAAAATCAGTGATATGTCGCTTCTAAAATCTGGATGTTCTTATCCCCAATGTAAAACCTTCCACTAGATTGCTTGAATGTTTGTACTATACGTACAATGACATCATCATATTTCATGCAGTGGTTGAGGTCGATTTCATTACTGATCAAGCTATCAAATAATGGCCAGAACGGTGTTTTTCTAAGGCACTTCAATTGGCCACTTGTAAATTTTGTATCCTTTAACAGTTTGACCAGTCCAGTTAGATTTGACCGGTAGTTCACTTTTTTCATGTTCACTTCTCCAGGAACAGCTGTTTGATCAGGCTTGGTTTTGAAACGGGATTCCCCTCGCTTTCGCTTGCCATCAACTTTATGGGGAAGACCTGTGTGTTCAAATGAGCACATGTAATTGGTTGAAACACAGAGGATGGAACCCGAAGCACCAAACAACATTCAACAACCAGCATTGACAGTAATTGGAACATTCACATCATTATACAGTGATGTGAATGTTCACATCAGTGTTTATTACTGTAAGTTTACACAGTAATCAATACTAATGTGAATGTTCACATCATCCATGTTAGAAAAATAAATTCGGAAAACGACAACAGTTACTGGGCAATGTAAATGTTTACATGGGTGATCACATTATGTTATAATTTGCTAAAAATCAAAGGGGGGAACCAACAGTGCAAAACTACACCCAATAACACAAACAACTTAGGCATTGATGTCACAATGTGAATGTTTACATCATACGCCATCACAGTTTTGAGTGAAGTTTGGGTGTTCTGACATTAATGTGAACATTCACATGATGTGAACATTCACATCAGTGTGTACTACTCTAAATTTACCTAGTACTCAATAGTAATGTGAATGTTCACATCATCCATGTTTGAGAAATAAACGTACTACTGTAAGTTTAGCGAGTAATCAACACTAATGTGAATGTTCACATCATATATTTTTACAAAATTAATTCCGAAAACATCTATGTTTACAAATTCAAATCCGAAAACCAGAAGGTGTATGTATACATCAATGATGACATTATGATTTGAGAAGCAGAAGGTGGAATGGTATTCCTTACTTTTGTTCGTCATGGTTGGTGGGTATGGATCACACTCAGTGGATAAAATAAACTCAATGGGGCGACAAGAATCTTCGAACGACGAAGCACCCTCCTTCCGATGTGAAGCTTCGCAGTGGTGAGACGAAGAGGAATCTAGGGTTACTGGAGGCAATATCAGTATCGTTTCGTCGATTGAGTTTTTGTTTTGGAAATTTTGTGGATTGAATATTTCGAATAGGAATCGGTTTTTGTAGAATCGGTTTCACGCGGGAGAGGCGGAGAGGGTTATTTCGTCCTTTAACAATTAATGGACCTAATGGAATATTTAGAAATAGTTTGGGTTTTATGGAACAAAACAGTTATAAATAGGACTTATCAAAAAATGGCCCTAAAAAATATTTTAATTTAATCTTAAAAAAGTTTAAAAATCATCTCCTAAGACCTTAGCCATCTTCTATAATTTTACACATTTTTTTAAGGAAAATAATATGCAAACTCACTTTCAAAACCTATTTTTTAAACCAAATAATGTGTAAGTGATATGATTAGTTAATAATTATAAAATATATGATAAAGAATATTACCTTTAATATGCTAATTAATTACCATATTATTGGACTTAAAGATTGAATCTATTTTTTTTGTCTTGAATAGATACTCTCCGTTTAAAGAGTAAATGATACTCTCACTCTTTTTTTTTACCCATACTTCATTTCTCCTCCTTACTAAGAATTAATCAAAAGACGATTATAAAATAACCAGGGAGACATGACATGCAAATTGTGCATTTTATAAGGAGAATTCTATTATAGGCATCCTATATAATATGCACCTATAGTTATATTATTTTTTTTCTTTAAGTATGATCAAATTTCTTCTTTAGTTAAAAAATTATTTTGAGATTTTAGTTATGACTTTTTTGTGTTTGGTCATATTTTTTTTTTATTTTTTATTTTTAGTTCTGACTCAAAAAATATGAAATTATGATTTTTTTTATAGTTATAAAGTACATATAGTATACACCCTTTGAAAATGTATATATAGTCTTTTCCATTTTACAAACACATTATTTAGAGATGTGCCAATTGAGTCATCATATTATTACTCCAATGGGTCACATTTCAAATACCATATTTGATTATTTCAACGGTCAAGTTTGAGCTATTTAAGAATTTGATCAACCTCATCTTTCATGGGCATTAGAAGATTGTCATTCTTGAGATCATTTGGATTGGTTTGTAATCAATAGAGCCTTCATTTGGGATATGAGTTGACTTTTTGATTTTTTAACTTTTTGGTTATTTTAACCAGGAGCTAAAAAATCTCACTTGGGATAGACTTTTTGGTTATTTTAACTGGGGCTAAAAAACCTCATCTTTCATCCTCTAGAGTTTTTTTTTCTTAAAGTTTCCTAGAGTGGTGCATTGTGTGGTTGAGATTTAATGATAAGGCACATCAAATTTTCAGCATTAAATCTTAACCATACAATACACCACTTTAGGAAACTTTAGGAAAAAAACACTCTAGAGGATCCTTGATGTCTTTTCATGGGCATTAGACGATTGTCATTCTTGAGATCATTTGGATTGGTTTGTAATCAATAGAGCCTTCGTTTGGGATGTGAGTTGACTTTTTCATTTTTTAACTTTTTGGTTATTTTAACCGGAGGTTAAAAAACCTCACTTGGGATAGACTTTTTAGCTTTTTTGACTTTTGTGAGAGAAAAAATAAAATGATTATGAGTTAGATATGACATTTTGTTCTATTTGATTAAAATAACTTATTTTGTCAGTATCCCAAACGAACCCTGAATGAAACTCTCCCTAAAGTCTAAGTTAAAAATGAAATTTCAATTTTTTCTCCTGATTTTTTGAAAGGGGTTGCGTCTGAAACTAGGTTTATCAATAGATTGAATTTAAATTGAATCCAAAACCCAATTGATCCAATTATTGCTGGATTAGATTCCTAGCCTTGGTTCAATAATGGCGACATTGTCGCTAAACTCTGACACCTCAACCCTCTTCAAATCTTAGACATTGTAGACAACAAATTGTTTGGAACATTACCAAGGTGTTTTAACAATTTCTCAGCCATGGCCATGATGCATATTGAAACATAAGAAAATAATGTGAACTAAATGGAACATAAGTAGATAAAAAGGGTATTTTGGTCTTCTTATCTCAAATTGGACCTAATGGAATACTAAAAAAGAATATGGGTTAGATGGAATAAAACTCTTAGAAAATAGATTTATCAAAAAAACTCCAAAATACTCTTTCACTCCTAATCCAAACCCAATCAAGTTTTTTTTTAAAAGAAAATTTTAATCTAACCCTATCCTATTCAATCATTTCCAAACTCATCCTATTACGATGGAAAAAGTCGAGAACCTGCGAATTGCGACATTTTGTCATCCTTGTTATAACCGACTCTCAGTCAATAGTCGGTGGTCTTGAGATGGAAGAGTCCGTGTACAGGGTGGCGTGACAAAGCTGTAATTTGCTACCGTTTAGTTAGGTCGGTCATCAATATCGTACCCTACTTGCAATATAAATATGTGAGCTGCAATCGTTGACTTTTTCAGTTTTCGAAGTACACGCCACGTAAAAAGACCTTTTGTTTTCATTTCAATAAAAAATGACTTCATCAAAATAAAAATTAATTAAAATTTATACTTTTCTCCTTTATTCTTTTATTATTATTTTTATTTCGATCCTTAAACTTTGATTTTTATATTTTGATCATTCACATTTTAAATTTTTCTCAATTTACTCTTAAAATTAGACAAAAATATGCTATGTTGGCTATCACATGATATATAAAATATATATATATATATTCAAAAAATGTCGCTAAAAAAAGTTGTTGGCTATATACTATCCTACAGGTTAGACCATCTCTAACGGTTCAGCAAACTTGGCATCAGATTTGAAATTTGGTAAAAAAGTCATTTTTTGGAGCTCCAATGGTTTCACCAAATTGGTATCAAAATGAGAATGGAACAAGAAATTCATCAAACTGAGAACATGCTCCAGATTTCATCATTTCACTGTGCGTTACCATTGGGGTGAGCCAACCGGTCAACCAACCGGTTGTCTGGGCGGTTGACCCACCGGTCGACCGCTTACCTTTCAAATAGGTAGGTTCAAACCGGTCAAAAAAGGTTTAAACAGGTAAAAAAAAAAGATTGCCCTTATCGGTCGACCGGCCGGTCAACCAACCGGTCGACCTTTCCCTTTTGATGCAAGGTTGGAGGAAGCCATATCAGATTGAGAAAATTGACTTTTTTTTACTCAAATTTAGTGAAAATTTTAGTTCACTATTAGAGATGCTATAATAGCATCACTAATGATGTGATAGTAGGCGAGTGATGCTCTAATAGCACCACTAATGATGTGACTGTCTATGCCTTAATATTTTTTTTTTTTTGACATTTTCAATACATTAATACTACTAATGATTCTTTTTTTTTTTTTGGTGACATGAATCATTCTTGACCACCTATACCAATTTCGTCCTTGTAAGGCATTGAAAAGTTAAATTTGATTGAATATATCACAACTCTCAATAATTGAACTTTGCACCAATAGGGACAAGGCATGCATTGACTTGGAAGATCACAAAAAGTCAAAAGAATACGCCAACAGATTTCCGGACTATTCTTCCTCACACCAATGGTTGTTGGGGGTAATTCCATAGATTGCTTATCTGATGAGATAGCAGATGAAAGAAATCACACCCGCAATTCAATTTCATAAAAATTTTGAAATATAAAAATTTTATGATGTCATTGAGAATAAATTAAAATAAGAAGATAAAGAATTTCGTACTCCATGTATTTGTCTCATGTTTGACTCAATGACAAACATTATAATAATTTGATTCTTTGATATTAACATGAAAATAAAACTACTCGAAAAAAATACAAAACTAACTGAATTAAGAAGT